TATTTTAAAGAGTTGCTTTTACAGTGGTATCTCGGGTTAAGAACTTAATTCGTTCCGGAGGTTCGTTCTTAACCTGACGGTGCCAGGAGGAGATCAAAGGGGTTGCCCTCGATGACCCTCTGGACTCCCTTCCAACTCCTACAGACAGTTCAATAAGATCCGGGGGTTTCTTACCGGCATTTCTTGCTCCTCGCGACTCTGCTTCGCCCGCTGATAAGCCTCCATGATCACAGCTCTCCTGCAAGAGGAACAAGGCGGTCACTAGCTTCTGGTACCCCAAGCCGCTTGGCCCTCCTTTCTTTGCAGAAAGAAAAGCTTCTGAGCATAAACAGAGTGCTTTTTATACAACCACCGAGCAAACACGGCCACAGGACTGGGATTAGGGGGCACCTACTTTTTTCAATTTAGGCTAAGCCTATAAATGGCCTTTCTTGACAATTCAGATGTAGTCTATGCCCTTTTAAAATGTGGTTCTTTTTTGGGGGGGGAATAATAATAATAATAATAATATAATTTATTTGTACCCTACCCATCTGGCTGGGTTTCCCCAGCCACTCTGGGCGGCTTCCAACAAAGATTAAAAATACAATAAAACACCAGTCATTAAAAACCTCCCTGAACAGGGCTGCCTTCAGATGTCAGGTAGTCAGCGGCGTAGCGTGGGTTGTCAGCACCCGGGCAAGGCAGGCAATTTGCGCCCCTAACCCGGGGCAAGGCAAGTAATTTGCGCCCCTAACCCCTAACCTGCCGCCGCCGCCAGCTTCTTCCTTGCTGCTGCCTGGGCTGGTCTGGTGTGGTTCTCTCCCGCGCTCAGCGCTGCGCTGGGCGGCCGCTGCACTGTCCCTCCCCCAGATAGTCCCCCGCTCTCTCCGCACCGCACGCCTGGCACCCCACCTCCACAGTGGGCGGCGACCCGGCGGCTAGGATCTGATTCGCACAGCCAGCACTGCAGTGAGAGAGAGAGAGTGAGCCAGGTAGGGGCAGAGAGCTGCGAGTGCGAGCGCGCCCCCCCAGATGTTGCGCCCGTGCGGCCGGCCCCCCCTGCACCCCCCACGCTACGCCACTGCAGGTAGTTATTTATTTCCTTGACATCTGAAGGGAGGGCGCTCCACAGGGCGGGCGTCACCACCAAGAAGGCCCTCTGCCTGGTTCCCTGTAACTTGGCTTTTCGCAGGGAGGAAACTGCCAGAAGGCCCTCGGAGCTGGACCTCAGTGTCCGGGCAGAACGATGGGGTGGAGACACTCCTTCAGGTATACTGGACCGAGGCTGTTTAGGGCTTTCAAGGTCAGCACCAACACTTTGAATTGTGCTTGGAAACGTACTGGGAGCCAATGTAGGTCTTTCAGGACCGGTGTTATGTGGTCTCGGCGGCCGCTCCCAGTCACCAGTCTGGCTGCCGCATTCTGGATTAGTTGTAGTTTCCGGGTCACCTTCAAAGGTAGCCCCACGTAGAGCGCATGGAAGTAGTCCAAGTGGGAGATAACCAGAGCATGCACCACTCTGGCGAGGCAGTCTGCGGGCAGGGAGGGTCTCATCCTGCGTACCAGATGGAGCTGGTTATTGGGTTCTTGCTTTTATTTTGGTTTTTATATATATTGGTTTTTATGTTGATCTTTTCTGTGAACTGCCCTGAGACCTCCGGATATAGGGCGGCACAGTGGTACCTCGGGTTAAGTACTTAATTCCTTCCGGAGATCCATTCTTAACCTGAAGCTGTTCTTAACCTGAAGCACCACTTTAGCTAATGGGGCCTCCCGCTGCTGCCGCACAATTTCTGTTCTCATCCTGAAGCAAAGTTCTTAACCCGAGGTACTATTTCTGGGTTAGTGGAGTTTGTAACCTGAAGCGTCTGTAACCCAAGGTACCACTGTATTAGCGACCCAAAGACTTGGGTTGACATCATCTACTCCAGGGGTCGGCAAGGTTTACCTTGCCTGGGCTGGATCACTCCAGCGGAGATCCCTCCGTGGGCTGGATCGCGCCCGCGCCCACGTTTTCTGGCATCAGACGCGATTTTCAGCACCGCAGAAGTAAGTCCCTGTGCTGCGTTGCACCGGTTTAGTGCAGCGCACCGGGACTTGCCGAGTGGGCGGCTCGGTTTGGGGACTTCCTGGCAAATAGAAGGGGAAGAAATAGAGGCAGTGAGAGATTTTATTTCTTGAGCTCCATGATCACCGCAGATGGTGACAGCAGTCACGAAATTAAAAGACGCCTGCTTCTTGGGAGAAAAGCAATGACAAACCTAGGCAGCATCTTAAAAAGCAGAGAAATCACCTTGCCAACAAAGATCCGTAAAGTTAAAGCTCTGGTTTTCCCAGTAGTGATGTATGGAAATGAGAGCTGGACCATAAAGAAGACTGATCGCCGAAGAATGGATGCTTTTGAATTCTGGTGCTGGAGGAGACTCTTGAGAGTCCCATGGACTGCAAGAATATCAGACCTCTCCATTCTTAAGGAAATCAGCCCTGAGTGCTCACTGGAAGGACAGATCCTGAAGCTGAGGATCCAATACTTTGGCCACCTCATGAGAAGAGAAGACTCCTTGGAAAAGACCCTGATGTTGGGAAAGATGGAGGGCACAAGGAGAAGGGGACGACAGAGGACGAGATGGTGGGACAGTGTTATTGAAGCTGCTAACATGAGTTTTGACCAAACTGTGGGAGGCAGTGGAAGACAGGAGTGCCTGGTGTGCTATGGTCAAGGGCGTCACGAAGAGTCGGACACGACTAAACGACAAAAGTGGGCTGGTTAAACGACCCCCGTAGGCTGCTTGTGGCCCATGGGCCTTAGGTTGCAGACCTCTGGTCTACACAGTGCTTTGCAAACTTGGGTCTTCAGCTGTTGTTGGACTACAACTCCCATCATCCATAGCTAGCATGACCAGTGCTCAGGGATGATGGGATTTGTAGTCAACAACCGCTGGAGACCCAAGTTTGAGAGGCGCTGAATTATACAGGCTGCATTTCCCCTTCTGATAAATTCCAGGGGTGGGGATGATTCTTGCAAGTCTTTCCTGTTGGAATGCAGTGTTAAAGAAGCAAAACTTTAAAAGCAGTTAACAAATACCCTGAGAGGCAATCCAAAACAAAAATTTATGGAAAAGTGGGATAGATATAAAACAATACAGTAAAGTTTTGCTATCTATGCTAGCATTTGATTGACGTGGGAGTGAGACTGAGTTGAGAAATAAGACTAAGAGCACATATTGATATAGGAATGTATTAGATAAAATGTAAAGAAATATACAGTAGTAAGAGTACATTCATGTAAAAAAGGAATATACAACGGTATAGACAGGAAGTCTAGTGTGTTGGTATGTATATGATTTTGGGGGAGAAAATTTGTTTTTGTTTCTTCTCTTTGTTCTTCCCTTTTCTTTGTTTCATTTTCTTTCTAGGTATATAAAATTTGTATATAATTTTTGTATACATGTTGGAAATTATAGTAAGTCCTGTAACGTAATATGACAACGTTTACCGATGTAATATAAGAATGTTAACAAATAAATAAAATGCAAATTCAAAAAAGAAGCAAAAATTATGTCCAGGCAAGAAACAAAACACATGATCTGTTCTAAAATGGACTGCCTTTGTCTTGAGTGCCAGCTGTTCCGCTCAGTCCAGATGGTGTTTTCCACCCTGGGGGCGGTGGGGAAAGGGGGCTGTGGTGGCCCCAATCTGACTCGCCCCACCCCATCCATTGCCATCCAGCTTCCTAAGTTTGCCCAGAAATCCTGGTCAGATTTGCTCCCCCAGCCTGCTCTCTTTCGCAAAAATGATGTCTTGGCGTCCGTGGTCCAACCTGCACAGCAGAGCGTTCAATCCGAGGCAGCATTCGCACTGGGGGCCTGAAACGAAGAAGGGCAGGGAGAAATAAGAACTTGGTTGGAGCACCATAAGCAGAAACAGTGTGGGAAATTGTGTCGGAATGCGAGCAGCCAAAGTTCGTTTCAATCGATTGTATTTTCTGGAAACTGTTGAATGGTTTAATATGTAAAGGTTCATCATTGTTCCACTCGATGTGTATGTCTTTAAGGGGCCAGAGAAAGGGCCAGAGCAAAATAACGAGACCCAGCTTTACAGCTGTGAAACATAGCAGGTGCTGCTGAGTTGTATTGATTAAGCTGTGTTGGTAATTGGGTGTAGTATATAAGGAGCAGCACCTAGCTCTCCCTTTACCCTGGGGTTGGGGTTGGTGGTTGGGTCATGTTGGTTTGTTAATGTATTTTGTGTAAAAGGGTTTTTTGTTTTTCTTATTAAAACCTTGTTAAATTATTTTTGAGTCCCTTTTAATGCATGGTCTCCCCGCAAGCTCTCTGCAGCGCTACCATACTGCAAAAAGCCAACATCTTTGGTTATGGGCCCAGCTGCTGAGTGGATGACTGCATATTTTTGGACTCTGAGAAAGGTTTGAAAACTCCTTCTCCTGTTAGCGTAGTTCAGTGGGTCTGGAAGAGTTCCAGAATGGTTGACCGGGTTCCTGAAGCTGAGAAGGCTCTGGTCTTCCCACAGCTGACAGATGAGAACTATAGTTTATGGTCTTTTCGGGTGGAGGCGCTTTTGACCTCTAGAGAAGTATGGACCTATGTAACTGATGACCCTCCTAACCCTGTGACTAATGCTTGGTCGAAAGGAGACGCTAAAGCCAGGGCGATAATTAATTTGGCAGTCAGCGACCAGCAAGTAGTCTATATAAGGAATAAGAAAACTGCCAAAGAAATGTGGGACAGTCTTGCAGCAGTGCATATTAGAAAAGAGTCAGCGTCTGCATTGACGTTTTTCAAGCAGCTGTACCAGACGAAGTTGCAGCCTGGTGGTGATTTGGCAGCACACTTGAGACGTCTGGAGGCAATACGCTGCGAATTAATTCAAAGGGACATGGAGATACCTGATACTCAGTATGTTTTTATCATTCTTTGTTCCCTTAACGAGGACTTTGATGGTATAGCTAGCCAGATATCTGCCGTTCCACCAGCGCAATTAACTGTGGAAGGGGTAACGGCAAGATTAATGGGTGAGTTGGACAGAAGGGAGGCTTGTGCCATAAGCACTCCTACTTCCAGAAGTAATGAGGAACGCCATATGCAAACTTGTGGTGATACAACTGCATTTAAAGCTGCAAAGCGTTGTTGGTTCTGCAATAAGCAAGGACATTTTGCAAAGGACTGCAGATCCAAAGAAAGCAAAGTACTCCCAAGTCTGTTTCTGTTCGTCAGTCACGGTCGTCAGCTCAGCAGCCGGCATCGTACCGTAAAGACAGAAACGAGCCGCGAGCTTTTCACGCTAGCACAAGAGATCGTAAAAGAATTAAAGGTGCCAAGTGGAATTATTTTATTGTGGACTCAGGAGCATCTCAGCACGTTTGCAACGATCGAAGCTTGTTTATTTCTTTCGAAGAGGAAATTGGTAATGTACATTTAGCCAATTCACAAGTCTTACAGTCGCTTGGCAGGGGTACTGTTAAACTTGACTCTTTAAACATTACTATAGCGAACTGCATTTACTGCCCATCAGTGGACAATTTATTGTCAGTAAGGTGTTTTGCTCGTCAAGGCATAACTGTGCGCTTCTTAAAGTCAATGTGTGAGTTTTTCGAGGGGAACAAACGTCTATTGTATGCCCGGGAATCTGATGGTTTATATAGACTGTATTTTCGCACCTACTCCCAATCGCCTATAAATTGCAGAGCAGCACAGTCAAGCCAGGGGTTGAGGAATGTAAGGCCACATTCTGGGTGTGTCCATGAGGCGCACAGAATTCTGGGACATCTGAATTTTGCTGATGTAATTAAGACCAAGAATATTGTTAATGGCCTCAACTTAAAACCATGTAAATTCTTTATGCAATGTCTATCCTGTTGCAAGAATAAGATTAAGGTTGCACGCAAGGGTAGGTGCTCAGATAGGAAAGTAACTGAGCCATTTGAGCGTGTACATTGTGATTTAGTTGGGCCACTCCCACCATCCTTAGGAGGTTCTAAGTACTGGCTTACCCTGATAGACCAGTATAGTAGATATTGTTGGACTTATGCAATAGCTGAGAAGTCCCAAGCATTTGAGAAGTACAAAGTTTTTTGCAACTGGGTAAAAACACATTTTAACAAACCTATTAAGAACCTTTTTTCTGACAGGGGCGTGAGTTTGTTTCTGAGGATTTTGAGAAATTCCTGGAAGCGCAGGGGACTACTCATGAGTTATCTTGCCCCGAAGTCCCTGGCAAAATGGGCTTGTTGGAAGTTGTGCAGCGTGACCTGCAGGCAGGGGTTAAAACTTATCTGCATGATGCTAATCTGCCCAAAGACTTTTGGGCTGAAGCGCTCAATGCCTTTTGTTATGTTAGAAATCGCAGTTATCATTCTGGTTTAGATGTCACCCCTATGAGAAGCTGTTTAAAAACGCCCTAATCTGAAATACCTACGCATTTGGGGTTCAGATGTAATAATGCATTATCCCGCTAAGCAGAAATTGGGTGAACGTAGTGTCCAGGGAAAATTAATGGGCTACCAGCAGGGGGCGTACAGAATTTACATACCAGCAACTGGCAAATTTCATATTACCAGAAGCATGATACAAACTGTAAATTGGAATGGTGTTGCTGTTTTCCAAGATAGTAATGGTATAGATAATACTGAGGAAGAAGAGGTAGAAGAAGCAGCAGCAGCAGGAAATGGTGCTTCTGAATTAATGGAAGAAGACAAAAGCCTGTTGAATCTGATAATTTCTTTGATGATTTAAAGTCACAGGCACCCGAGGGGAGGTTAGATTCTCTTGAGTTTTCTGACCGTGAGCTTAGCCAACAGGCATCTCTTCAGTCTGACAATGATGATTTACAACCTGAAACTAGTAGTTTACATAGTCCCATTAAGTCTGAGGAGTCTGACTCTCCTTCCGGACTGAGACGTTCAGATAGAAAGAGACAGAAGCCACAACGTTTTGCAGATGAACATTTTAATACTGTGTATGCCAATAAGGCAGTTTTTGAGCCAAAAGCTACAATGATGTTCAGAATTTACCTAAGCACCAAGCTGTAAATTGGTATAAAGCTATGAACTCTGAAATAGCTTCTTTAAAAGAGCATAACACTTGGTCTCTTGTACCACAAACCCCAGATATGAGACTTATTGATTCAAAATGGGTTTATAGAGTTAAAATGAATGACAAAAATGAAGTTGTAAGGTACAAGGCAAGATTAGTTGCTAGGGGTTTTCAACAAATTCCAGGCGAAAAGTATGATTTGTGTTATTCACCAAGTGTAAAATATGAAACAGTTAAGCTTTTGTTAAAAGATGCATCACAACGTGGACATTCTGTTTATCACCTAGATATAAAAACTGCATATTTGTTTGCAGATTTAAAAGAACAAATTTTTATGCGTGTCCCTGAAGGCATAGACGCCGCTGAAGGTTTGGTATGCAAATTAAATAAATCCCTTTATGGTCTGCACCAAAGTGGAAGGAACTGGCACCAAACTTTAGCAAAAGAATTGCTGGATATTGGTTTTTCACAGGGAAAGGCAGACAATTGTGTGTTTATAAAGGAAAGGGCAAACTCTGTAGCAAAAATATGTGTCTATGTAGATGACGTGTTAATTTCTACAAAAACTAAACAGGAATATGAACAGGTAGTAACACAGTTACAGAAGAAATTTGATGTGGTGGAATTAGGCATAGCTAAAAATTACTTATCCATGCAAATTGAGAAAGGCAAAAATGGATCTTTTCTGGTTCATCAAACTGCAAAAATTGACGATCTTGTTGAAATGCTATGTTTAGAAAATGCAAATGGGAAGGAAACGCCCATGGTGTGTGGTTTCACTTTTACAGGTGAAGATAAGCCATTTCCTAACAAAACTTTGTATCGTTCTGCTATAGGCAAGCTAAATTTCATTCAAAGAATCTCAAGACCAGATATAACTTATGCCTTTCACTTTCTGGCAAAATTTGTGGAAAAGCCCACTACACAATGTTTCTCTGCTCTTAAGAGAGTGGTAATGTACCTTAAACATACCAAACATTATAGGTTGCAGTTTACAACATGTATTGACAAAGGTTTTGAAATTTTCTGTGATGCATCTCATGCAGTGGAACAAAATAATTGCAGGGGTGTGTCTGGTATGGTGTTTTGTTATAATGGTTGTCCATTTGAATGGAAGTCCCAGACACAAACCATTATTTGTCTCTCCACAACAGAGAGTGAATTATGTGCATGTGTTCAGGCCACTCGTGATGTGGAATGGTATCTGCAAGTATTCGCAGACCTACAGATGCAAGTAACACTACCAGTAAAAGTTTACCTTGATTCCCAGAGTGGACTCGCTATCCTATGTTCAGAAACCAATACGCAGCGCACTAAAGTCTTAAGATTACGTTTACAGTTTGTAAAGAAACCAATTGCTGATGAAATGGTTGTATTTAAATATGTTCCAGGTGACAATCAAATTGCAGACATTTTTACTAAAGCACTTCCAAAAGGTATACATGAAAAACATGTACAAAGTATGCTTTATGTTTTTGTTCCACAATGATGAACCGCAGGGGAAATGTTGAATGGTTTAATATGTAAAGGTTCATCATTGTTCCACTCGATGTGTATGTCTTTAAGGGGCCAGAGAAAGGGCCAGAGCAAAATAACGAGACCCAGCTTTACAGCTGTGAAACATAGCAGGTGCTGCTGAGTTGTATTGATTAAGCTGTGTTGGTAATTGGGTGTAGTATATAAGGAGCAGCACCTAGCTCTCCCATTACCCTGGGGGATGGGTTGGTGGTTGGGTCATGTTTGTTTGTTAATGTATTTAGTGTAAAAGGAGTTTTTGTTTTTCTTATTAAAACCTTGTTTAAATTATTTTTGAGTCCCTTTTTAATGCATGGTCTCCCCAGCAAGCTCTCTGCAGCGCTACCATACTGCAAAAAGCAGTGGCTTTGAGCAATATATAAATTAAATATTTAAATAAAGTCGAATCAAATGAACCAGCCGGTCCAGCTGAAAAGCAGCCTCTGCCACACTTTTCACAAGTTCCCAAAAGTTTATTTGGGGCAGCTTAGCAGATGGTTAGGCTGCTCTGAAACTGGTTTAAGTTTGTAGAATCGATAGCTTCAGAGGACAAAATATCTCTTAGAGGAACTGACACAGAACCCTGCCCAGATGTCAAGGGGAAATTCTTCTATGACCAAGGGAGTGGCTTTTATAATAGCAACCATCCAGTCTGTGCTTCTAGTAAGCTTGAACATGATCAACAAAGATGGTTTTATGTGCAGATTCTTAAAATCAATATTTCAATCTGCACAAGGAAAACCATCAAAAGTTTGTGGCAAATGGAAGTGAATAGTGTGTTTCCAGAGTCTGTCACAGTATAGAAGGGGGAAGGATTTGTATTAGCAACCCAAAGACTTTTAAAGGGAATTGCTTTAAATCCCAAAAATGTAATAATGAACAGCAAAGTACAGATGTGGATTTTGCTTTCACTGGCTTTTCTCTTTTATTAATGCACTTTTAAGATTGGGGGATAAAGCTGTCATAAAAATTAGTAACTGGGTATGGTAAACTAGCTTGTAATAGAGTAAAATCTTTGCACAGTTCAGAGAAGAGGTTTCTGCACTTTTTACCCTTGAAGGGAAAAACACCAATCTGAATCACAAATGAAATAAAATGCTGTTTGGTGATAAAAAGAAGAAGAAAAAAAGAAGATCACCTGCTGGATCAGGCCATCCTGGCTAGGAGCTACCGAAAGCTCCTAGCTAGGAGCCCCATCCTCTTTTAAAGCCATCCAAGTCCGTGGCCATCACTGCCTCAAGTGACAGGGAGTTCCATAGTTCAACTCTGCTACATGATGTTCTTTTACCTGCCCCGAATTTTCCAGGCTTCAGAGCCCAGTTGTCTGGTGTGGTGGTGCCAGGAGGAGAACAAAGGGGTTGCCCTCGATGACCCTCTGGACTCCCTTCCAACTCCTACAGACAGTTCAATAAGATCCGGGGGTTTCTTACCGGCATTTCTTGCTCCTCGCGACTCTGCTTCGCCCGCTGATAAGCCTCCATGATCACAGCTCTCCTGCAAGAGGAACAAGGCGGTCACTAGCTTCTGGTACCCTAAGCCGCTTGGCCCTCCTTTCTTTGCAGAAAGAAAAGCTTCTGAGCATAAACAGAGTGCTTTTTATACAACCACCGAGCAAACACGGCCACAGGACTGGGATTAGGGGGCACCTACTTTTTTCAATTTAGGCTAAGCCTATAAATGGCCTTTCTTGACAATTCAGATGTAGTCTATGCCCTTTTAAAATGTGGTTCTTTTTTGGGGGGGGAATAATAATAATAATAATAATATAATTTATTTGTACCCTACCCATCTGGCTGGGTTTCCCCAGCCACTCTGGGCGGCTTCCAACAAAGATTAAAAATACAATAAAACACCAGTCATTAAAAACCTCCCTGAACAGGGCTGCCTTCAGATGTCAGGTAGTCAGCGGCGTAGCGTGGGTTGTCAGCACCCGGGGCAAGGCAAGTAATTTGCGCCCCCTAACCCGGGGCAAGGCAAGTAATTTGCGCCCCCTAACCCCTAACCTGCCGCCGCCGCCAGCTTCTTCTTGCTGCTGCCTGGTCTGGTCTGGTGTGGTTCTCTCCCGCGCTCAGCGCTGCGCTGGGCGGCCGCTGCACTGTCCCTCCCCCAGATAGTCCCTCGCTCTCTCTCCGCACCGCACGCCTGGCACCCACCTCCTCCACAGTGGGCGGCGACCCGGCGGCTCGGATCGGATTCGCACAGCCAGCACTGCAGTGAGAGAGAGAGAGTGAGCCAGGTAGGGGCAGAGAGCTGCGAGTGCGAGCGCGCCCCCCCAGATGTTGCGCCCGTGCGGCCGGCCCCCCCTGCACCCCCCACGCTACGCCACTGCAGGTAGTTATTTATTTCCTTGACATCTGAAGGGAGGGCGCTCCACAGGGCGGGCGTCACCACCAAGAAGGCCCTCTGCCTGGTTCCCTGTAACTTGGCTTTTCGCAGGGAGGAAACTGCCAGAAGGCCCTCGGAGCTGGACCTCAGTGTCCGGGCAGAACGATGGGGGTGGAGACGTTCCTTCAGGTATACAGGACCGAGGCTGTTTAGGGCTTGAAAGGTCAGCACCAACACTTTGAATTGTGCTTGGAAACATACTGGGAGCCAATGTAGGTCTTTCAGGACCGGTGTTATGTGGTCTCGGCGGCCGCTCCCAGTCACCAGTCTGGCTGCCGCAGTCTGGAGTAGGGGTGGTTTCCGGGTCACCTTCAAAGGTAGCCCCACCGAGAGCGCATGGAAGTAGTCCAAGTGGGAGATAACCAGAGCATGCACCACTCTGGCGAGGCAGTCTGCGGGCAGGGAGGGTCTCATCCTGCGTA